ATTTGGAAGGCTGGTACCAGAATTTATTATTTGAATTTTGGGACTTAAGAAATGAAATGAACAATAGTGATTTCATTGCAATGAGACAATTTTGAATTGACTTATGTTGATGACCTAGGAACTGCTTTATGGAATTATTTGTGGAACTGTTTAAATGAAGAAATTTATTTTTTTTCTACCTAAGCTCAAGATGCAGTTTTGAGTATATATATATGCTAGTGATTCATGAATTGTTTTGTGTTAAAAATAGAACTGTTTAAACGGAAAAATTTGGATTTTCTAACTAGGCTTGAGGTTTTGTTTAAAAAAAATATAAAGAAAAGGGAGAAGTAATATTCTTTAGTCTATTTAATTTAAAAAATATTTTCTTGCTGAGTGGATTAATGTTATGTTTTGTTAGTAAGAAATGCAAATGGGTATACTAAGAGATTACTTTAAAGTGTAAAGAGTTTTATTAAGAAACTACTTTTGGATGTTTTGCTAAAAGTTTCAAAGTGTTAATGGTTAGATTAAGAATATTGCTTTTCAATATGGGTTTGTAGGAATTGTGTAAGTTTGGGTTTTTCTAACTAGGTTCAAGATTTTGTTTTAAAAAATTATAAAGAAGAGGAGTTATGAGTGAATTAAGGTTGAATGTATGTTTGCAGAAATTATGTTAACCTATTGATATTAATGCACACTCATTTGAAGTTAAGGAAATATTTAAGTTTAATGTGAAAACATCAGAAGTCTTTCCTATGTTCCATTAGCAAGAAAATTCAAATGGTTCTATTAAGAGTTAAAGATGTAAGACTGAGAAAATTATAACTATATATAGCACCATTTATGTTAATTCAAATGGTTCTGTTAAGAGTTTGCTTTGAGATGTAAGATTGAGAGAATTGTAACTAGGTATAGCAAGATTTATGTTAACCTGTTACTGGTAATGGTGAAATACGGGATTCTTTAAGTTTGAACTTACATTAAGAGTTTTTGGTTTAGAAAGGGCTGGATGCAGCTAAAGACTGTTGTAGTCACCTTGGACCCAATCCAAAAAAGAAATGCCATCTTTATCATCCTCTACTCCCATACTGGGAGACGTGACAGCTATAGAGATTGCTGTAAGCTATTAATGAGGAGTTGTTCTTTTATGTATTAAGAAAGAGGGACCTGTGGGAGCCCATTTTCAGGTTTCCTAGTGGCTTTACTCAGCAGGTCTGTCTGCATAGAGAGGATGATTAGACCATGGGCCTGAGTGCAGGTATTTGAGATGGTCTGCACTTGGCGGTGCTGGGGGAAGGTCTTTTGCTCCACCCCTTGGCATTTCTATAAATACCCTGGGGCAGAGACAGTTGGGGCCCGTTGGGATAGGTTGGGCCCTCTCGAGGCTGTCTTGTATTTTCTGTCTGGAACAAATTCAGTCCCACTCTCCCAGGACACCAAGACTGGCCAAGAGGAAAGACAGCAGCAGAAGAGGGCAGGTAAATGCCGAGTCAGCATCTGGTCACGTCACAAGAGCGGAAAATGCTTTGGGTTGGATGAATCAAGGAGCAGCTCTGTGACCCTGGGTAAGTTCATCGGCTGTTGCACATATGAAAACGATCAGGAGTCTGCCCCACAATATGCTGTGCAGTTACACACCTTACATAAGGTGCTCAGGGTAGACCCTGTCAGATGCCGAGTACCCAGTGGTTATCACACCTACGAAAATATTCTTTCTTCAAAAGCCCATACAGTAAGCTGTCCCTTAAGTATTAAAGAGGCTCACATTGTAAGCTTAGAAATGAAAACAAGGCTTCATTGCAGAAGGAGCAAAGGAGACAGCACAAAGCTTATCATTAAAACTCTTTTGGAAGGATAAACTCAGTGATTGCTAAATGAATCGAGAGCATGTTGCCTTTTGTCAGCAGCCTTTGAAATTGACATCAAGGACTACCTCTATAGCCTCTATAACCTTGTGTTTTTCTGCCAGTAACAATTTTGGGACTAATGAGCTGTTGTTCTGATGAGTGTGGTGATATTGTGTCCGCCAATATATTGTGCACCCTAATAAACTTATCTGGGGTTAGAGAACAGAACAGCCACTAGACAGACAGAGGCCACGAAAATGGTGGCACACACACCTCTAATCCTATCACTTGGGAGGCAGAGATCCATGCAGATCTCTGTGAGTTCAAAGCCACACTGGAAACAGCCAGGCATGGTGACACACACCTTTAATCCCAGGAAGTGATGGCAGGAAGCAGAGAGGTATATAAGGCTGAGGACCAGGAACTAGAGGCTTTTAAGTTTTTAGACTTTTAGCAGCAGTTCAGGTGAGATCCATTCAGATGAGGACTCAGAGGCTTCCAGTTTGAGGAAACAAGACCAGCTGAGGAATTGGTGAGGCGAGGTTGGCTGTGGCTTGTTCTGTTTCTCTGATCTTCCAGCGTTCATCCCAATATCTGGCTCCCATGTTTTTTTTTATTAATAAGACCCTTTAAGATTTGTGTTACAGATGAGAAATGACAAATTTTGTTCTTATGTAGTTAAGCACTTAGCCATTATTTCTCAAAACACTAAAACCCCTTGAAGCTTGAAAGAGATTTAGGACTCATAAATTACAGTTATAAGTAATGTATGTGAGTTACGTTATGCTGTAGTTGGCAGACAATTTGAGCCTCATCCTGTGAGGCAGACGAGTAGTCTGGTGGGAAGGCAGGGTAAGTAACTGGTTCATGAACATTAAAAGATGGCTTGAACTTATATAGCTATGGAATTTCTGGGGTGGGTTCAAACTTGGATGTTGTGATCTCAGTCCCATTCTGCTTTTTCTGAACAGCGAGTGGAAAATGTTAGAACCCGGGCCTGACTCTAGTGGAGCCCTGGGAATAGGAGTTAGCTACTCTCTTGTTTCACATTTCCACGTAGGGTCGGGTACTTGCTCTGTACTCAAGTGAATGTTGTGTCAGGGACTTCAGACTTTACCTCAGTGAGGCAAAGCAGCACGCAGAGTTTTGTCAGTGTGGCTGGATGCCTTGCGATTCACACTATTCAGTCCCTGTCCGTCTGTTTTCCAAGACGGATCCTTCACATTAAGCTGGTTCTCGGTCATCCGAGATACCCGGTATCCATCCAATTCCTTCACCACTTGTTCTCAGGTTGTTGTTTTGTTTTGTTTTTCAAGTCAGGATTTCCTGTGTAGCTTTGGAGCCTGTCCTGAAACTCATTCTGTAGACCAAGCTGGCCTTGAACTCACAGAAATCTACCTGCCTCTGCCTCCTAAGTGCTGGGATTAAAGGCATGTACCACCACCACCCAACCCTTGTTCTCAGATGTTTTTATTGCTTATACCACGTGCTCCTGTGAGCATGTGCATTCACACACACACACACCACATACAAGACTGTGACATCACCACCAACAGGAATTTTTGTTGCAATAGCTGTCTTATTTGTGGTCTTCTCTTGTGAAAACATTCAGTGATTATATTGATCCCCTTCAGGACAAAGAGGAAGAAACTTGATTATGGCACCAAGAAACACTGCAGCTTTGTGCTTTCATCATTTCAGTCTTTTGTTTTCTAGATTCATTGCTTCTCCTAATCACTGGACTCACTGCTCAGCCAGAGTTTGCTGTGTCCACTCCAACCCTGTTGGTTCTTGGCCCGTTCTTATATGTCCTTCAGTCCAAGAATTTTCCTCCTTATGGGAGAGTTCAATGATCTTTACCAGCATGAATCACATCTATTTTATAGCCCTTATTTTTCACGACTGGAGTATTTAAAATTTATTATTTAGCTGGGTGGTGGTGGCACACACCTTCCATCTCAGCACTCAGGAGGCAGAAGCAGGTAGATCTCTTGAGTTTGAGGCCAGCCTGGTCTACAGAGGGAGTTCTAGGACAGCCAGGGTACACAGAGAAACTTGTCTCAAAAGAAAACAAAAACCAAAATTAGTTTTTAAACATATATTAATTATACTAATAGGTTTCATTTTGATCTTTTTTTTTTTAAGACAGTTTCTGTAGCTTAGGCTAGCTTTGTATTTGGGATCCTTCTGCCTCGCCTGCTGAGTTGCTGGCACTATACAGGCTGTACCACCACACCTGGCATGTTATAACATTTTCATCCATAGTATTTAATATAGTTTGATCATATTGATGCTCCCATTATTCTGTCATTCTCCACACTCACCTCCACTGTTCCCTTCCTCTTTAATTTCATTAAATAATCCTTTTTTTTTTTTTTTTTTTTTTTTCCAAGACAGGGTTTCTCTGTGTAGTTCTGGTGCCTGTCCTGGATCTCACTCTGTAGACCAGGCTGGCCTCAAACTCAGAGATCTGCCTGGTTCTGCCTCCCGAGTGCTGGGATTAAAGGCATGCACTACCCCCACCCGGCTTTAAATAGTCCTTTCATATCTTCAATACAGACACAGATTCTGCTGAGAGGAAAAACATGGGATTTTCTAAATCTGGCTTACTTTGCTCTAAAAGCACGGATCATCTCAGGAATTGTCACATCCTCCTTGTGTGGGGCTATGCTAATCTGTATGGTTCAATTTTAGTGCTCACTTCAGCAGTAGAAATACTATCTTTCTGATAGCCAGTGGATGCTCCATAGGTGCTTGTTGTTAATTGAAAGAACAGACATGCTGCCATGTCTGTAAGGCTTTGAGAAGCAGCACAGCCTGGACTAACTAAGAAAAGGGCCCAGGGCATCTTTAATCCCAGCACTAAGGAAGCAGAGACAAGCAGATCTGAGTCCAAAGCCAGTCTGGTATACATATTGAATTGCAGGCCAGCCAGGGCTATAGAGTGAGATCCTGTCTAAAATGGAAAACACACACACACACACACACACACACACACACACATACACAGAAAGAGTAAAAAAACAAATGCCTAACATTTCATTCTGTCCCCCAAGGGAGGTTAGAAAACAGAGGTACTAATTGTCCTGAAATAATTTTTAGCATTTTAGGACACAATTAGTATAAGCAATGCATGTTTTAGCAGCAAAAGAATGAAAGATGACCATGTCAGCTGTTTAATAAATTTTTATTACAAAACAACCATGTTAGGAAAGCCTCAAAAGTAGAAGTAAACATTTAAGTAATAACTAAATAGACATGCAAAGAACTATGATTAAAAATCCTAATAAATGTAGTTGGCTAAATCCAGACTTGAGACACAAATTTCCTTTGCCACTTAACAAAAGAATGAAGCAGAATGCCCTTCATTTTCAATGTAATTTTAAATGTTTGCACATTATATTCCTACAGGCAACTGCAGTATAATCAAGTATATAAACAAAAACCAACTCCTTTCAGGTTGAATGAACAAGCCACATAGAAATACTCAATATAAGCCGGGCGGTGGTGGCGCACGCCTTTAATCCCAGCACTCGGGAGGCAGAGCCAGGCGGATCTCTGTGAGTTCGAGGCCAGCCTGGGCTACCAAGTGAGTTCCAGGAGAGGCGCAAAGCTACACAGAGAAACCCTGTCTCGAAAAACCAAAAAAAAAAAAAAAAAAAAAAAAAAAAAAAGAAATACTCAATATAAATGTTTAAGAAAACACCAGTATTATATAGGTGATATAATTCATTACAAATTACTTTTTTTCCTTAGAAATGTCTGCCTTGAACTTGGAAATGATACACAAAGGAGTCTATGGATATATGGCCCTTCTGTGATGCTAACATGACGGGATTACACAGATTCTGTCTAACAGTACTCTAGAGACAGCACTGAGAATGTGCCCCATCTACAATGCCACTAACAGAAACGGTGTACCGAGTGCTGATCTCCAGCTCTTTTCCAGTGCCCGCTGTTCTTCAGTTAGCTGGAAGTGAAGTCTCTATCTTCCCCACAGCTTCATTCCGGAAGAGCAGCTGTCGGAATATATTTGCATAAAATGGTCCATACACCTGCTTGTTGTGGTTCACGATGTTTGCGTATTGACAGCCAAGCACTTCCAGTTCCTGCTGAATGACACCAAGGCCCCCTGGCACGGGAGGCATGCTCTTCGGATTACTTGAAAGACAGAGTAAGCTTTTCATGTACAAATGGATCCGTTTATCTAAAGGAAAAACAATGGTATCTTTAATAATAAACAGTAAGGTTCCCTTTTACCCATGCTTATACTCAAGTGGCGTTACAGTTCCTCCCATTTAGGATGCAGAATATTTCTTCATTCCTCAAGTCTGAACTGGCTTTGTCACCTGTTTTTGCTAATGCAATGTTAAAGAAATGCCAGGACGCCAGATGCATGCCCAAGCCTCAACATGCATGACTGACTCCACTCTGCCTACTATCAACCATGTGAATAAGGCTAAAACTGCTGAGGCAAGACTGGAGAGAGAAGCCCAACTCTCCCAGATCTATGGGAGAGCTTTCTAGAAGAACCACCTCCCAAGCTCCTGGGAAGAGTCTAGCCAAGATAAAAGGGCTACCAACCTAAGCCACAGAAACATGAATTGAGTTGGAGAAAGCCAAAGAACTACTTAACTGACCTATAGGCTTGTGAGAAATAAATAAGTAAAACTCTATAGAGCTTTGGGGTGACTTATGTATAATTAGAGATGGTTGATTAGGAAAAAAAAAACAGTGCTTTTGTGAGGTAGAATTTTTTTTTTTTTTTTTTTTTTTTACAAAAGTCATGCCCAACATCCACAATCATTACTGAAGCTGGCACTGTCAATTTAGTAAACATCATATTTCTTTAGAGTTTTGTTTTTATAGAAGCATTTTAGAATTAGGGATTTCACACTGAAATCCAAACTTTTTGGTTCTATAAGAAAAAAATCTAGAAACCCAGCACCCTTGGGATTTCAACATAATACAGAGGAAGTTTGGCCACACACATCTGTTTCCAGGGACAGTGAAGTTCATGCCTATTGCTCTGGTATAGTTACAAACAGTACTGTGCACAGCACCCTGGTTTGGTAAGTAATTATCCAGCCACTCTGCACAGGAGGCATTCAGGAAGGGCAGTTCCCACAGCACTGCCTTCAGTCACCGCCCCTCCCTGCCTCCCTGCATCTCACCTTGTGACCACCAGATACAAGCAAATGCACGCATAGATTTGCCTAGTCACATCAGACAATTAGTAGTGCCAACCGGACTGACTACACGTGCAGCTCGAAAGACTCTAGCTTTGGAAACAAAACCCTCATAAATAATGCTTACTGATAACAGTCCACTGAGCACAGACAGTTACGACATTAAATGAAACTCTTTCACCTTTGGAGACAAGGTCATGAAGCCTGGGGTTGCCTCAAACATACTGTGTGGCTGAACTATGATCCTCTTGCCTCCACATCCCATATGGTAGGATTTACAGGTATGTGGTAGTATGCCTGGCTTTTGACATTAACCAAACTCTTATTTTCAAACACCGTTTCCCACAAATTCTGCTTTAGCCATAACTGACCCCAGCACTTGACAATTTCCAATACCATGTCTTAGAATTTTTCCTCTTCCTAAACTCCTATCCCATCCCATCTCTCCAGATCTCCCTTAGTGCTGAGTCTAAGGTAACTTCTCTCTGTGGGTCCTCTGACTGTCTGTTACAGATTCACATACGCCAGTGTGTGCCTTTCTCCTGTCTTAAGAGAGTGAGCTCTTTGGGGGTATGGGGGTCTGCAGGCTATGTCTCTTTATCTTTGTATTTCTGGCCTGACACATGCCACATAAATCCTGACTCAATTAAAATGAAAATGGAATGAAAAAAGTTTATAAATACCAAACCGAAAACAATGGAAGCCTAGAAAGGGAGCCTGGAGAAAGTAAGCATAGACAAAATAATTCTTACCTATATGTTTCAACAGGAGAGATTATTCATGTATCACTGAGGCAACTGAAAATCAACTCTCAAAAATGCAAATGGCTATGGGCATGCATATACACATATAATCCATAGATAGTTTTTACCTGTGTGTATATATATATGCAGGGGGAAAGTTTGGGTTTGAAAGAAAATTCACTAATTATCGTTTCAAAGGGTTATGGCATGGTGAGAGGTGTAATGCCCTTGGCAAAGAGACTCACATCAACTGAGAACGCAGGGTGGCAGAGCATGGGTGGCAGAGCATGGGTGCCATGCACAGGGAGAGCCATGGCCAGCCTTCTGTATGCCAAGATCTAAGTGCTTCATTTATGCTAGTTTCTCATCATGCAAACACCCTGTGAATTTTCTGTCTCTTGCAGACCTGGGCCTAACTTCACCACAATCCAAGCACTTTGTCACAAGAAAGCCTAAAAATGAAATCCTTTCAAAATGGTTATTATGTCAACAAGTAGTTCTGCCTCCTCTTTGGACAAGTCAGGTTTTTAGGCCAAGACTACAGAAGCATTTGTTAAGTTTGAAGCAGCCAAATGGAGTCCCTGCCAAAGGCTGTTCTTGTCTTCCAGAGTCAAAAGAGAGACACTCAAGACAGCCACTCAAGTAGCTAAGGAAACGATACTTTGAATAAGATTAAAAATACTTTCAATGTGCAGAACAACAGGCAAGGCTGCCCTGGGGAGAGCTGGGAACAAAAGCTGCTTCACCAGATTTTAAGAGGCATCTCCTGCCTCCTCTGCCCTTCCCATTTGATATCCAGGGCACAGACACATGTGAGTTCAGGGCTCCAGCTCTGCCTGAAACACAGTAAGGAATATGAGCCCTAGAGCCAGATAGGCAAAGTAAGAATCCCAACGCTACCTCTGTTAGTTATTTGGGCATGGGCACTATCCTATTTGTTAGTTAGCCATGGGCACTATCCTATTTGTTAGTTAGCCATGGGCACTACCCTGTTTGTTAGTTAGTCATGGGTACTACCCTGTTTGTTAGTTAGCCATGGGCACTTTATAGTATGCATTAAATGCCATCTCTAGACTCAGTCCCATGTAGAGAAACAGCAGACAGCAAACATCCCCTGTACTCATGAGGTCTGCACACCAGTGAGGAGCCAGCAGCATGAGGAGCAAAACCTCTGATTACAGCTGCTCCTCTGGAAACAAAGGGCAGAGCAGCTCAGCATGTAGGTAGAAGGGAAGGGGCGTGATAAGTGGCTGTGCCAATTATTATCAACTGTCTCCTCTTGGTAGCAGCCTCTACTGCCACAGTGCTGTACCCTGGCACTGATCCTTTCTGGGGTCAAGGTGAAGCCTTGGACCAGCTAAGTAGGCTGTGTGTGCAGCCTGAACTTCCAATATCCTATGTTCCCAGGAATAATAAGAAAAATCATCGCAGAGCCCCCGAATCCATAATAAAATGTGCCACACTGTTAGGGCACTGACACTGTACTTGGGAAGCTTATGGATTAATCCCAGAATGTCCTCTCTTCCTCCTCCTAGGCTGTACTTTTCAGCCCTGCAGCAACTGAGCACATTTTACAAACACCCGCCTTTGTCCTCTGCAATGGTGACAGTGCCCTGCTTTGTGTAGGGAACAGTTCTCCTCTATGTTCACTGACACTCAGGTTCACAGACTGTCCCACAAGTGAGGACACGTTTCAAGATTAAGTTCTTTGCTCTCATCACCAAGACCAATTCAAGGACAGAACCTGACCTAGGTTAGGCCACTTACAGCCAATGGGACTCCATGCTGGACCGCTGCTAGCTAACAGAGGGGTGAGACTCCTGGCTTTGTGTGACTTAAACATGGGAGGCCAATGGCAGAGCAAGCCACCTTAGTGTGTAGGCATCCAGGCCAGAGGGGCAGTGCTGAGAGATGGGGGGAACCAAAGTCTCCATGGCACCGTCAGCAGCCGGCCCATCCCTGGCCCTCTGGGCCGTAGGAGAAAACAACTGCCCCCTTTAACCAGTCACAGGTGACTGCAAGAGTCCCAGTACATGCTCCATGCTGCCAATTCTGCAGCCCAGCCTGACAGCAAGCACAGTGAGAGCCCACCATGATGCCTCCCAATTCCAGCCCTTCACTCTCTCTCTAACTCTGACCAAGGAGGGATCTCCGTTCTCTCAGGTGTGCTCATGGCAGAACCAGTGCCTCATTCTGCGAGTGTGCCGAGGGCAGGCTTGAGCCGCACATTCACCCAGCATTCCCACAGCGCCACACTGTCTCCATAAAGTCCACTGGCTGGGTAGTTATGACAGCTGCTCAACAGAGAAGGGAGGGAGACCTATGAAAACATCAATTTTCTTTATACTTTTAATATCTGTCCTCCCAAAGTACAAGTTCAGTATCTGTGCCGACCAGTTTCTGTCAACTTAGCACAGCTAAAGTCATCAGAGAGGAGGGAGCCTCCACTGAGAAAATGCCTCTGTAAGGTCAGGCTGTAGGCAAGCCGGCTGAGCATTTTCCTTTTCTGTTTTGGTTTTTCAAGACAGGGTTTCTCTGTGTAGCTTTGGAGCCTTTTTCCTGGAACTCACTCTGTAGCCCAGGCTGGCCTCGAACTCACAGAGATCCACCTGCCTCTGTCTCCCGAGTGCTGGGATTAAAGGTGTGCGCCACCAACACCTGGCCGCATTTTCTTAATTAGGGATCCATGAGGGAGGGCCTAGACCATTGCGTGGGGCCAGCCCATGCTGGTGGTCCTGGGGTCTAGAAAAAAGCAGGCTGAACAAGCCATGTGAGCAAGCCCATAAGGTAGTCCTCCACAGCCTCTGCGTCTAGGTTCCTGCTCTTGCTGCCTCTGATGACAAACTGTGAGTGAAATAAACCCTTTCCTCCCCAAGCTGCTTTTGGTCATGGTATTCCCACACAGCAATAGTAAGGCAGTATCTTTTGCCCAAAATTCAAGGTGTATCACAGGTGTTTTTGATGTTGCTGGGCATTTTGTTTGTTTTGTTCTAGAACACTGGAATGGATGTGATGGGTTACACATCCCTAATCTGAAAATCCAAAATTTGAATTGCTGAATTAGTACTGCGTTTAACACTAAGATGTGACTGACAGGTAAACACTGTCAGATACTGCAGGTCAAAGCAAATTGAAACTGAAGCAGAAACTGGTTTAAAACTAAAGAGAACTCACCCATCAAGGTGCAGACAGGATTGCCCTTCTCTTCAAGGCTTGAAAACTGACCGACAAGATTAGCTTGGACCTCAGCATTTAAAGTGGGCGAGCCTCTCTCTTTCAGGGCCTTATTAACTTCAGCACAAGTCTGAACACCAATAGAATTCAGGGCTTCCTTCAAATTAAAGGTCCTAGAAAACACAGAGCAAACTGCATCAGGCCAAGTCTGGGTCTTCAGGAATCTTTTTATTTTGTTTTTAAATATACTTACTACAGATGCATGCCAATTTTCTCTTACAGCAATACGAATTGTTTTGATAGACTGAACAGAAAACAGTGCCTCTCCCAACTACCATTGCTCTCACATAATAGGTTTTTAAGTGCTAAAAACCATGTAATTGTGTACCCCATGTCTGACAGAAAAGCAAATGTATACATGTAAAACCCCATTTTCACAAGTTTAGCAAAGGGGACGGAAAATATCCATTTACTTCTTAAACCCACTGATATGAGTGGATTTATTCATATACATTTTGAAAGCTTTATCTTACATATGAATATTTCACCTGCATGCACATATGTACACCATATAGATGCCTAGTTCCTATGGAGCCCAGGAAAGGTCATCAGATCCTCCGGAACTAGAGTTATAGACAGTTGTGAGCTGCCAGGTAGGTGCTGGGAACTGAACCCAAGCAGCCAAGTGCTTTTAACCATCTCATAGATATTTTTTAATGAGCTCATGAAGTTGAGTAGAAAAAAATTAATTTTTCTGTGCCTACAGCAGTTTATCTATAACACTAGTCAAAACAACAAAAATATTGAGAGACCAAATTACCTGAAATTCTAGACTGATCATGACCAAAGGCAGTTAACTCCCTATTACTACTTTCCAGTAATTAACAAATAATCCCAAACACAGTCTAGACATTAAACAGTAATTAAGGAGTAAGTTATTTAATCAATAAAGAGAATTAGGGTGTTTTTAGATCTGCACTATTAAATAATAATTGAAAAATGGTATCTCAATGTATAGAAAAGGTTCTTACGTATCACTGTGAGAAATATGACCTAGTGACAGAAGGTAGCACAATAGAGTAAATCAGGACTTAAGTCTGATGTGGGAGACCTTGGTTCAAATCCAGGCTCCACCACTGGACTGGCTCTATGCCCGAGTGACATCCGACTTTTAGCAGGATGTCAAGTGAACAGTAGACACTTAGTGAGAAAAGCATGGAAGTGGTATATCATCACTGCTGTTCTGCCTTAACTGGAATCTGCTGTATACTCACACTGGACCTACCTCTGGGGTTCTATAACCCAAGGGTAGACTGTTTTAATAAAATCTTTTCCTTCTGAAAAGTTTTAATCCACTATAGAGCAGCATTTTAGCTTTCTCCTGCTTTTAGTCAGAAAGTTCGTAGACTAAAGGAAAAAATTAAATTTTAATATGGGTCAAGGCTTCCTATTCACAATAAAGGCAAAACCTTGCCTGTCTGTGTGACATGTCACCAAACCATATGACATGAGGCCCACCAGTGACTTGAGGTCATCTACTTCTTTTACATTACAAATGCTGTTACTCCATCTATAACATGCGTACTTGGGCAGCAAATGTATTCATTTCCTATAAAGGAATGTTTCCATATTATGTGAAACAGCCAGTAAACAGTGAAATAAAGTTATAAGGAGGATCTCTGAACACCAAAACAGTTATTAATGACTAACATACACTGTGTGCCAGACACCTGTGCAAAGATTCTCTTATTAATCATCTTTTATTCTCACAGTTCCAAAGTAGGGAAAATGATTATTCTCCTTTCTATGTGTATGTGTATGGGGGGGGGGGTGTGTGTGCTCACTCATGTGTGTTCATGTCAAGGCCACAGGTAAACTTCAGGTGTCTTCCTCTATTACTCTCCACCTTATTTCTGGAGATAGGGTCACTCTGAACCTGGAGCTAGCTATTTTGGATAGACTGGCTTGCTAGCAAGTACCCAGGATCTGTTTCTCTATTGACCTGTACAGCCAGGATTACAGACACTCCTCCATGCTTGACTTTCGCATGGGTGCTGCAGGATCCAAGCTCAGGCCCTCACTGCAGATCAAGCACTTTACCCACTGAGTCATTATTATATTACATATTATTATATACACATCATTATAACAATAGTAGGGCTTCCTAGCCTCTATTATTCTCTTTCCACATGAGAAAATAAGGCTCAGAAACTTTTCAGTCGTACGTGACAAGGCAATTACAGAGCTCAGTGTGACCTGGTCACCTGATCTGAAAGCTTGTCCTCTTAGTTTCTACGTGTTGTTTCTATTGGCTTCATATTAACACTTGGCAGCACTGGGTGCTCAGTAAACATTTCTGGAAAGCAACAGTTCCCAGTGCGAAGAGATGCAGAGACAGACCAAATGCAAGGACACAGGAAGATACTGCTTCTGTGTGGATCTTGGGTCCTGAAATACGAACTAAGGTGTGTGGCAGTAGTAAGGTATCGGTCAGGAGAAAGGGTAGGCCTGAGACAATAAGACAAGCTGAGGCTTAGTTTGCCCATTTCCCCCCACACAGCCCAAAACAAACCCTCTCCTCTGAGTTTCAGCCCAAAATGAGAAGTATGGATCCCAAGCCACTTAAGATTCCTACTCTAGATTTTATCACACGGTTCATGTTCTTTCTAACAGAGGAAGACAAGTGCATGTCCCTTCAGTGGCAGAACAGAGGACAAAGGCCTAAAAACACCAAGAGGCAGAGCAGCAGGGGAGCTGACCTGTGTGAGAGCCACAGAAACACTAACAAGACAGTGTCTCCATGGGATAGACCTAAAGGCAGAAATCCAAGTGGGATTCTAACGTTCAATGAAAGAGCAAGACTGGAGGTGAATTTAGCAAAACTTTCATCAGGCTTATAGTAGACAGAACTGTGTCTATTTTAAAACCTTCATAGGTTTTAAACCATTCAAGTCAGTTATTATCTCATGAGAGAGGAAGGATAGAGTAGACCCCATCCGATCTGAGAAGTCCGCTTTGACAAAGTAGTTCCAGGGATTCCTGCTTTTGCTTTTCCTCAGCACCATCACGCATCCTGGCATGTGTCATGGGACACACCTCTGCCGTCCCATGAAAGGACAGCTAGAACTTTTGAGGTGCTAAAAAAACACCGTAGAAAGAAGGTGAGAAACTTTAAAGCCAGTAGTGACTGTTGCAGCCTCATGGCCAAGGTTACGTATGAGGCCATGTATACACATGTAGAACCTTCATATGTGAGGGAGCAGATACATGCATGAAGAACTTACTCTTTATTCATGCCTTCAAGTAGAACAGCTGAGATCCGTTTGAGCCTGTTTGCAAGCTCGGGCAGGCCTTCTGTGACAGCACCCACCATGTTGTTGGTAATTAGGGACAAGCAGGCAATCATTTTCAATTGATTCAGCTTCTCTGTCAGCTCCTGAAGTCGTGTCCCATCTGTCACCAGTGTCTAGCATATTGATTTAAAATGTAAAAATAGAAAGGGAAGCACAATGCCATGAACATGTAAAACAAGCAATGTCATATCCACATTCTCATATCATATGCAACACAGACAGGCCATCTGATTCAGGGTCAAAACCCAAGAATTAAAATGCTGGACATCCTGGTGGAGGAAAAACCACGCACCTCTGGTAAGACCTTTGTCTGATAATCCCACTGAAGTAGTTTCAAGTAACAATTATTCAGCACCAACAGAGGGCTTAGGCTTGGGGTGGAACTCTGTTCAGCTCCGGGAGCTACAGCAGTCTCAGAAAGGAATTCTTCATCCATTGACTCTTTCAGCCATTCCGTAGTTTGACTAAGGGCATCTAAGGGCAAAAGAAGCCATACAGTTACTCTTTAGTAGGTCAGTCCTTTTGTTTATATATTCTACATGACAGATTCTGGGTAGGTCCCAGGCATGAATGAAACAACACAGCCAAGCCCGAGTCCATATGGGGAGACATATTTATAAATAACTACTGCTTCTCATAGGGTACAGTGAACGCTAGAGGAGCAGGAGAGAACAAGGATTACTCGAGGGTGCTCAGAGAAAGAACTTCCAAGTGACACCTGAAGCAGAGAGAAGAAAAGGCTGCCTGGCATGCTAGCAAGGAGAATGCCCACATAAAGATGTTAAAATGGCAGCGTACGGCACATTCTGGAAGTTGCCCATCATATATGTATTGCTGGTCCTTAAGGGGCTAGTGAAGAGAAGAACAGCCCCTGAAGGCATTGGTTTGGCAGTTGGAAACCAGCTTGCCCCAAACTTGCTCACAGATGACCTTGAGTTTGGACTCAACATATTAAACCCTTTGGGGTGCTAAGCCGATTTGAGTGTCTAATTAGAGCTATATCTTTGCCTAGATCCACGTGCATGTTTACATTCCCACATTCCTGAATAATTTTCATTCTCTCATTAGATTTCGGTTACAAACATCAGCTATGGGAAATAAAGACTCTTTGCACAGCTCTTTTCAACATGGAACTGATATAATCAGATAGAACTGTTAGAAAACTCACTGAGAGGAAGGCTGGGTAAACGAGAGGATTGCAGGCTGTTGTAGTCCAATCGAGAGTGTGAATGGACAAGGACATTGAAAATAGAGAGGAATCAGCCGGGCGGTGGTGGTGCACGCCTTTAATCCCAGCACTCGGGAGGCAGAGGCAGGCGGATCTCTGTGAGTTCGAGGCCAGCCTGGGCTACAGAGTGAGTTCTAGGAAAGGCTCCAAAGCTACACAGAGAAACCCTGTTTCAAAAAAACCAAAAAAAAAGAAAATAGAGAGGAATCATGGGAAAGGAGAAACACTATTATTTAGAAGCAGTGTCCATGGGTCTTGAGGACCACTTAAATGTAAAAAGGATGAAAGGCTTGTAGGATTACTCCCATATCCCTGTGAGGACTGCAGAATGAATGGTTGTGCCATATCCTGAGATACAAAGGACAGACTAGAGGACGAACAACATACAGTCTTCCCCTAACTTTCTGAACGCTACCAGCTGTCTTCTAGCTCTTCAGTCTACTCTGACAGCGGCTCATCTGAGGACACCCCCTGGAACCCTCTCTCTTTTTTTTCTGTCTGTGATTTCTTATCCCCGGTCTCCTTGAATAATATCATGAATCACACCTGGGTTTCTCTTCCTGTCCCTTAAACACACTTCCCAGGACAACTAGCCTGTCTCCATCTGTCACTCTCCAGTCCCCCTAGACATCTTCCTCATGGTCATCATTTCCATCTGCACCCCAGAAGGGCCCCAGCCCTCTCTCTCTGAGCCTCATCCTCCCCTGCTTTGGATTTCCTCGTGGGAAAGAGCAGGTGGGAGGGATGGAGAGACGGGGTGGCAGCAGCGCTGCACACAGTGGCCATCATCAGGACACAGGTGTGGAGACTGTCACAGCTGCAGACAAGGCGAAGATGCTTAGGAAGCAAAGGTGCCCAGGACTTCCTTACCTTTGCTTTTAGAATCGTTTTGTTTCCCACACCTAGAAATGCATATATGTACATGGACATACGGTTTCATAAAGTAAAATGCCCCACTGTAAAGTGCTCACTTTGGTCAGTTTTGACCATTTATGATCTGTGCAACAACTATCCCAAACCAGATGAAAACGATTCCCATCACCCCAAGAAGTTCTCTCATCTCCCTCTCAGTCACTGCACTCTGCTCTCAACTACTGACTTCGGGGGCTACTTTTGCCTCCTATAGTCCCCTGTAAATGGAATTATCTAGTACCTAGCACGTTTCTGAATGTATCCATGCTGTCACTATTCATAGTTTATTTCTCCTGGTAGGGGGAAGCTTTCAAAATAACCTCACAACTTTTTAATTTTTAAATAGTTCAAGCCGTGAAAAACCAGCAAACCAGCACACCAGCATAGGATATCTGCAAGCTCTTCACCTAGCTGCCACCATGGCAAGCAACATCGTAAATAACCACAGCATCCTGTCAAAACCAGGAAACAAAGATGACTTCAGCACAACAGCACTAACTGAGATGTAGGCTTTATTCGGATTTCATCAGTTTTTAATGCATTCTTTATGTGTGTGTACACCTCCAGGCAACACATTATAGAAGTGATTTAATATTTACAATCAGGGCTGACTCATTCCATTTACACACACACACACACACACACACACAAAAAACCCAGGGAGAGAGAGAGAGAGAGAGAGAGAGAGAGAGAGAGAGAGAGAGAGAGAGAGAGAGAGAGAGAGAGAGAGAGAGCAATTTCCCTCATGTTACCTCTGAATAGCTGCCTTCCTACCCTAAGCCTACTCTCTGGCAACCATGGATCGAGTGAATCAAGCAAGTCATGAATACAGATTGAATGTCTGAATCTTGATTCTCCTCCAAATGTTGTATTTTGAAGCCTAACTCAAATTCCAGGGTATGGACTTCGAGTTGAAGCCTCTAGGAAGTTAATCAAGTGAGATGTGGTCACAGGGGCAGAGTCCTCCGACAGTGCCATGCCTTTCTCAGAGACCCAAATCAGCTCACTCTCTCTCTCCACATGTACACACTGAAATTCAGACACGTAAGAAGCAAGAAGGGTATCTGAGGGTCTGGAGAGATGTTCCAGCATTTGAAAGAGCACTGTTTGTTCCTCTAGAGGACCTGAGTTCAATTCTCAGCGTCGACACAGCAGTTCACAACTATCTTTAACTCCAGTTCCAGGGGCATCAGACACCCTCTTCTGGACTCCATGAGCACTAGGTAAGTATGTGGTGCACAGACATAGAAGCAGGCAAAACACCATACACATAAAATAAAAATATTACTTTTAAAAAGAAGATGGGTGTCTGAAAGCCAAGAAGAAAGTTCTCAAGAGACAAGGCATGGTGGTGGCACCTGCAATCCCAGTAAGTAGTGAATGACTCCCTACTCAGTGCCATCCATACACATTACAGCCTGTTTCTAAAATTCCAAACAGGACACAGGCAAGCAGAGAGGCACCTTCTTCCTTGCAAATGATTTGGTGAGAACAAACGTCATCTCCAGTAGAGGGGCTGAGCTATAACAGCCTGCTCCCAACACACAGGGAGTGAAGAAACATGACTGTCGAGTCAAATCTGCATTGCAGATTAATAAATCTCAGTTAAGGGAAGCCTAACACCAAAGCAATCGAGGCATGATTCAGAACTTGTGTATCACACTCTCCCCTGCCGGGTAAGTGGCCAGTGAACTGCTTGGGAGCATGGCTTCTGAGCAAGATGCTGCTAAAGTCGGCCTGATTTCACTCGTTAGCACTGTGCCTTGGCTAACTTACTTAATACAACGCCACACCTTCTATTCCATGTCCACATCTGTAAACTGGACATAGAGAACAGCAGTCCCTTCCTGCAGCTGGGGTAAGAATTCAAGAAATGAATACATGCAATTCTCTGAGACTCATTCTAGCAAGTAGGAAATGTCTAATAAGGGTTAGCAATTGTGATGTTCACTCATTCAGCTACACAGACACCTCAGGGAGTGGGGTAGATTGTCTCTACTTGCACTAGATTTGGTATTTGAAGCACAGGAGGTCTGAACTCATTTCTCTGTCATAGATCAGCTGTGTGAGCTGATGCTGAAGTTACCTCAGACAGCATGATCGCACAGGCATAAAGAATGTGGATTTGTTTTTACGTACCAATTAGGGCTTTTGCTAGAGAAAGTGTAATCTCAGCAGATCCCCTTAAAGAAAACTCAACTCTCCACAGGAATGCTATGTAAGAAATATGACAGAACAGAAAATCCAGTTAGCCAGCACAATCCTTAGTGTCAGGCAAGGACTGTTCCAGAAGGAAGGATGAGAGAAGGAAGTGGTGATGATAGGAGAGAGTGTCCCTGAACCTGCATCTCATATGGAACTTACTGCTGTCTACAAGTGTCTTAGCAAGCACCACCTCTTCAGTGGAGCTGACTAGGCCAGACAACAGATGCTGGTGTGAAGAGCACAAGATGGCCTCAGACAAGAAACCATCCCAAGGGGCTGCCACCAGATTTTCTTGTTTACTGGAGACCCAGCTCTCTTAAAGCACAAGGAAATCCCTTTAGCTCATCATGAGACAGATTCATTTCCACTCTTGACCTAAGACAGGGTATCTCAGCTTCCACAACACTGGCATTTGAGGCTATATAACCGTTTGCTGTGAGGCACTGTCCTGTCCACTCTGGGATGTTTAGTGGCACTCCTGACCTCTCTGCCTGCTAGATTCCAGTAGAATACCATGACCCCCACCATCAAAATAGGACAGTCAAAAGTCCCTAGTCAGGATTCAATGGGGGCCCGGCAGACTACCCGATGAAGAGCACTGCTTTAGAGAACAATTAGTATCCATTTACCTTTTGTTCACAGATGTCGACTAACCCTGAATTCCCTATCTCCTACATCATAAACCAAATGAAATCCCACAGATGACTAGTCCAGAGGCTTTAGGTTTAGAGGCAATTTTTCTACTGCACTGTTAGCCTTAGGGCAAAATTCACTTTGTTTTACATTAGACCCAGTTCTAAGATTTCCCACTAGAAGCAAACTGCTTTTTGTATCACAGCTTTCATCAAAGCATCCATTCGGTAGATGTTATAGGGCAGCAACTGCCAAGAGGAGCAAACCGAGTACAGGTGCAGATTCAAAAACAACAACAAGGGAAGAAAGAAAGAAAGACCAGACTGCAGCTCTTCCGTGGAGTGGGGTACTTCAACAGGGTAACCTATGACTGGCGCTGTTTGCTACACTAAGGCCACACCACCCCCCGAATCTAAGCTCTGGTTCTTCTCAGGGGAAATTACTTTGTTTGGTTTGCTAGCTCTGTGTATAAAGATGGAAAAGGTCTTTTATTTAA